CAGACTTGTGGGCAGGACTCCAGATCATAAAAGGGCTGAGACAGCTGGGAGTATTTTGACTGCTCACTCTAGTAGGACAGGGTATGGGTTTCTAAAACACAGCAACTACCAACAGTCTCCAGTGTCATACAGACTTGTTGGCAGGACTCCAGATCATAAAAGGGCTGAGACAGCTGGGAGTATTTTGACTGCTCACTCTAGTAGGACAGGGTTAATTAGCACCTGCAGTAATCTTGTAGGATTTGGGGGAGGAAGTGCCCTTGGACCAAGTCAGTGAAGAGTTTTGCCTGAGTGAGCCCTAAGAGTGAACTACAGGATTCAGCCCTGAGCAGAGAAGTCCATTACATGGAAAAAGAGGTCAAGAGAGAAAACAGAGGAGAAAGATGCAGAACAAGAGTAGAGGTCTTCACATTGACACTGAATATACTTTTCTGCTGTACACAACTCACTGACCTTGCTTTTGGTTGATTCTTTGCACCTTGCCTGCAGAATGACTGAGATTTCATTCCAGCCTGCAAATAGGGCCTGGAAACTCCCTGAGAATCTAAGTTGATAGCTTATTTTAAAACATTTTCAATACACCAATGTCACTAAAAAGTTAGAGGCAAACTACCAGATTTAGAGATTATGGCTCAAGACATAATCCTAGGAGCCAGAATTGAATTGTGGGGGCTTGGTTCAGGACCATCAGTTGGAACTGAAAGTTTTATTTTATATTTGTATTTTAGGTTTAGAAATATAGTGTATTATTAAATTAAGCCCTTTTAATTAAATGTCTATTTCCTTGTCCAAAAGTTTAGTGCATTTAGTAAGTAGTCTTAAGTACAAAGAGTTTTGGTATTGTATCTGTGTTACTAGACTAAAGGGATGTTGAAGGCGGGGGCCTTAATTGTTTGATTTACAAGGTCTTTGCTTTGCCAATGTAGACGTTGATGTTGAGCCACATAACCTTGAGAACCCTTGTAACATTGCTTACGTGTGTGAAAAAGGGTACGAACGTATTGAGATAAGGTGCAAAAGTTATTGCTCAAAACCAGATGGCCGAAGGAGGAGGTTGAGTGTGGATGAAAACCAGACTACCAGGCGTCAAAGATGCGAACCCATAATATGGAGCAATTAGACTATTGGCAGATTGGAATGTTATCTTGTTGATGTCAATCGTTCCCAAACATGTGTTGAAGGCTCATCCTGTAATCAATCATCTTTTGGGGGTGTCAGCTTTGCTTCAAGGCTTGCCAGTCACAAGCTGACAGAGCAGAATCCATTGATTTCAACAGAGAAAAGGATTATAAAAGCAGAGTGCTTTGCTATGGAACTTTGGGTTCATCTTACCACCAACTCCAGAGGAGCATTGGATCGATCAACCGACAAAGGCCCTGCTCTCCCTCTGTGCTCAATCTAGCTGGCCACTAGACTGATACAGAATCTGGACTGGCAACTATGACATCGTCTGGCGTGCATGCATGCGTGCATAGAGAGATTGAAAAGCATATGCAACGGTTGTATTCTCAATACATATGGCATACTGCCTTTTCCCCTATGAAAGATCTCATGTGCTTCATTTAAGCATAACATCTCTGGATAAGTTACATCCTGGGTTGTTCACTAGACTATCACACAGTTTAAGATTAGGGAAGCATTAGCTCAAAATGCAGTGGTACTTGCTTGGATTTTACCCAAATAGTGAAATGTTTGACTTCTATGTTGGGGGGCCATTTAGGGTTGACAGTTCCCAGTTTAACAGAAAGTCCAGTCAAAAGGGGATCTGGCAACTTTATGGCACCCAAAGTAACAGTCTGGTTACTGAAGGATAGAGGGAGGCGCTCAGTCATTAACCTGAACCAATCCCTGTTGAGCCAGGCCTGCTGACTCCAGGCCTGCTGATGGCAACTTCTCCCAGGGTCCGGCAATTCAAAGAGGCCCAGAGCTGCTGGCTGTTGCTACTGTGGCAGCGCTGGAGCCAGAGGCCCTTAAAATAACTGCCAGAGCACTGCACCATGCACTCAGGGGGGAGGGAGGGTGCACATCATGCTCTGGGCAGTGCAGAGGGGTGGCTGCCCTGGCTCCACCCCTTCTGCCTGAGGCCCCGCCCCTTCCAGGAGCACAGAGCTGAACCATGCACCTTGCCCAGAAGTTTTGGAGGCTGTCAGATCACCTGACCACCTCCTACCTGCAGGCAGGCTCCTTGAGACAATCCAACATGTGATCGTGGAGGGAGGGGGGAGAAACAACGGGGGCAGAGCCTTGGGCGGGGGGCAGAAGAGGCAGGGCCTAAAGGGTCCAGTTACCAGCAATTAGAAAGGTAACAACCCTACAGTGCTAGTCTGAAAGATGCAGTGATGGGAACTTTAGTTATGAATTGAATACAGAATTAGCCCCTAAATCTCTGTAATTCAGAGGATTCTGGAACTCATTGAAGAGCTTCTGGCAGTTACAGAGGACAGTGGTCTAACTTCTGAAGGAATGTTTTGAAGAGCTGCTTGCCTCCAGTTTAATAGACTCATTTTCAGGGCCTTTAAAATCTCAGATTAGACAAATGGGAAATAAAACTGCTCTCTCTGTGCAAGTAGCTTTCTCTTGGTAACAGACTGAAGAGTGTATGGATTTTGAGCATAAAGACTGAAAAGGTATATTTTTTAAAACTGTAAGTGCCAAGTATAAGAATTCTGTAAACAAGTGTGCCACTGTTTTCTTTCACTTTTCATCCTACGTGGCAATGGATGTTTGCTCCCATTTGCACACTATCATAGCATTGGCTTTTATGATAGATTTGTTTTCTGAAGATGGATTTTATTGGAACCTATTTTACACACTGATTTTTTTTTAAAAAAGGCAGGTTGTTGAACAAACAAAGCCCATCATAACTTTTTTTCTTTCTTCGTCACTTGGTTACTCTACTGCCCTTTCCTTTTCCATCTTTTGCTGAGTTAAGCTTATCCCGGAAAAAAGTGTGTTCACTTTTTTTTAAAAAAAATTGTATTCCTTGGGTATGTATGGTCATGCCAATTTTCTTCTACAATTTGATCTGAGGAAGTGGGTCTGGTCCACGAAAGCTCATCACCTAATAAACCATCTTGTTAGTCTTAAAGTGCTGCATAGTCCTGTCTTTTGTTTCAGGTTTGTTCTGAATGGATACAATTTGGAAGACAACTTTTACAAACAAGAATAACCTCACAGCACATTACAGACTTGAAGTCAAGCAGCACAGATTGACTGTAGCAAGCAGTAGGCGTTGTCAAGCTCTTACCACTTCGATAGTCATTGGTTCCCTATTTCAACTTTCAAAGACATTCTATAGCATTTTGCCCAGGTATTTGAGAGTTTCATTTCCAAATTGAATGTGGACACTATTGCTGGCTAAGTTCCTGGCAGGTGATTTCCCTTTGGCAAGGCTTTGGGGTGGAATAGAAGTAGCTTGAAAGAATTTGAGACTTTATTTTGGTCTAATTATTCTTTAGAGTTCTTAGTAGCACAGAACCAAAAAATAAAAAAAACAAAAAAACCACACACATGAATAGGACTTTTCTTAGTAGCACAGAACCAAAGAATACAAAAACAAAAAAACCACACACATGAATAGGACTTCCCAAGCTTCCCGGGGTAAAGCCTCTTCCTAGCACGTAAAGAACAATAGGCGGACAAAATGCCCCTGCAGTCTAGCTGATCCCAACGGCCAGAAAAAATTCCTTGAGCACATAGTCATGTGGGTATTAATCGGAGCAGCTGTGGGGTTTTTCTAACCTTTTCTAGAAGCTGAAATGATCACTGGCAAGCCCCAGGATGGAGAAAGCATAAAGAAGTGGCATACACTGACTTTTTGTCTGTTTCTAATTTTGGAAGAGGCAGGAAGTGTTTAGATTTGAGCTGTATGATTATCTTCCCAAACATAATAACTTCACACAAGTTATCCAGATCTAAGTAGCCCATATACACACCAAGAGTAGAACATTCTACAACTCAGTATTTGAGACCGTCAACATTAGAGTTAAAAAAGTGAAACTTCCGGGTGGTGTTTCTGATAATTTGCCACACCCATTGTCCTATGTTAATGCCAGCTTGTTTTTCCCTCTTGAGTTTCAATAAGAGAAAGGAAACTGAAACAGCTTCTAGAGGGCAGAATTAATTTAGATAAGCTGCACTTTGAAAAATATTAAAACAGCAGGATCAATAGAATAGTTAAGAGTAGTAGTTCTTAGTGTTAAGAGTAGAAAACTTGGAAACAAAAAAAATAATTAAATGTGGGTAAAAAAATCTAAATGATCAATAGTGTTATGTAGGCACAAATGCACAGACAGCATGCAGCCCACATAATATCAGATTACAATTACTGGACATTCAAATTAGAAATTGTTGGATCTTAGGTTTAAACTACAGCTCAGGGCTAAAGCTTTGGCTTTAAATTTGTCAGTGTTAAGTATTTACAAACTGTTCTTCAATTCCTGCCATCATGGGTTGCATCCAAACTGGCTAGGGAAATCAGCTCTAGCTCAGAGCCAAATATTGAATTTTTGGATCTGACATCTTGTAGCCATTGCCTGTGATTAAATTTAGGTGCAAAAAGTTCATCAGAATTGGCTTTGAAATTCCAGTTCCAGCCCTTCTCTAGTTAAGAATCCACACATGTATGAATGCCATCTGCTTAGAAACAGACCACAATCATATAGACACCAAGTTCTGTAAGCAAGCCCTCTGCATGTGGGGCACACACAACACTTATTATTTTTTCATGTAAAGAGTGTAAGTACACACATTTGCACAGATATTTTCTCTGAACTGTATGTCCGGAGTCTTCATGAGAGCTTGGCTCTCATTTAGTTATCAGATTCTCAGAACAGGTGTATGCCAAGCATTTTGAAAGTCTGACCCAAAACTATTTCAAAAGTTTTCCCTCTATGCCCACATCTTTATATAAACACACACAGTCTGGTGAAATCCTGGCACTTAATGCTCACAATATTACTGAGTAACTAAACAATCTTGGCTAAAATAATGCTACTTACTGTTGCTCTTGCTGCTGCACGGCTGGTTTTTGGCACCCCACCTCTTCTTCAGAAGTCAAGTCCCCTGTGTTTCCAGCTCCCTCTGCCTGCCCACAATTCTCCCAGTCCTGGTAACCCCTAGAATAGGAGGAAGTAGAGGCACGAGCCACCCTGTGCCTGCTGCCTTTTTCCCATCCTGGTGCCCCATACATAGTCTCAAAGTGTGTCTTATCTTCCCAAGAAAGGCTGTTAAGGCAAGGCCAGCCCAGCCAGGGATCTTTGACAGCAAAAAAAGCTGAAGCTGCCGATTCAGAGTTGCACTTAGTTTCAATTTCTTATAAGACCCGCCTCCAACCAGCTCCTCCCTGCTCTCACCCACGCAGAAGCACTTCACAATCTTCCTTCACCCCAATCCCCTCTACTCCAGCTGCAGCTCATGCTGATCACTTGATTGACAACGGCTCAAAAGAACTGGAGTTCATGAACAGATAAAAAGCTTTTCTGCCCTTCATTCTAATAGCCCAGCCTGGTGATCGTTTGTGCAGCCTCCTGGTGCAACCATGTTGAAGTAACTCAAATCCAGTATCTGGATCCTGATAGGTCTCCAGCAGATGTTTGGCTCCAACCCCCTTAGTTCTACTTCCTGGAGAGGGAAGAAATGGCACTCATCTTAAACAAAACAAATAAACAATAACATCTGGATATCCTGATGCATCTAACACAGCAGCACTGCAAATACGCAGATCTGGCATCCGAAATATTTTAGAGCAAGAACATTTTGGGAACCTTATTCACAAATTTTGCTACTTAAGTAGAGAACAAGTTTAGCTGTGCCTACCCTTGCAAAAAATATCTGGATTCCAAGTGCAACAGAGCTGGAAAAAGCTACACAGAACATAACCAAACTCTGCCAGATTCCTGGAAATTGGGAGCTGCCTCCCAAATGCCATTGGATAAATAAAGAACAAGATAGCTGTTCAGTTTGCACTGAAAAGATCTGGATGCTAATTCATTCAATAAAACACTGTCAGAAACATCCAGTGCCAACATGTGGATTCGCCTATATTCAGTCCAACAACCCACATTTTATTGCCTAAACAGATAATATATTTAACTGCTAATGCATCTTGAAAACCCAGATCGCAGTATAATAGTGCCACAAAAAGTCAGATTCAGCATCTGGATCCTGCTGGATCTTACAAGTTTTAGGCCACAAACAGAAATTGTATAACCAAAACAGAGATACAGCATTGCTTATGCTATATGGAAAAAAAAATTAAAATCTGAACACCAGCATATCCTGGTACAAAAAATGAATAACAAAGCAGCTATGAGTCTAATGTAGCACCTTTAATCTACTAGATTCAGCAATTATTTTGCTACAGTCATTTCTACCATCTATACTTACATGCATATTCAGCTTTCTCCTAGGCATCCAAACTAATTCAGATCCTTAACCCATGGGACACATAGCCATGTAATAACATGTTGGGGGGTGGGGTTTGTTGGTTGTTTTGCAGTAAGGGACCCTACAAAGACTAGGAGGGAGGCGGATATTCATTCTTGGTTCTTTCTTTCTGCTACCCTATGTGTCCTGTCTAACAGGAGTCTGTGTCAGTGTAGGTTCTTATGGACAAAACCAAACAATAGGTAATTAATGGCCTTTTAGAATTCCAACAGCAACAAGGTCCTTTGAGCCTGCTTCAGCATCAGGACCTTTCTTATCCTTCCTCGGCAGCAATAGCAGCCAGTTAAAGTGACTCAATTATATCCCAGCATTGTCTTTTGAATTTCTAGCATCAGCTTCCTTCGGGTCTGATGGCTCCTAGCTGCCTCCAACTGCCACATATTTCTAGAAATGATAATTCTTTTTCCTGGGGCTTGTGACACTTTCACCTGATTGACACATTAGTGTCAATATGGTTCCTGTTAGCTATGGGTGGACAACCTTCAGCACATGGCCCATCAGAGTAATCCACTATTGCCTAAACAGATAATATATTTAACTGCTAATGCATCTTGAAAACCCAGATCGCAGTATAATAGTGCCACAAAAAGTCAGATTCAGCATCTGGATCCTGCTGGATCTTACAAGTTTTAGGCCACAAACAGAAATTGTATAACCAAAACAGAGATACAGCATTGCTTATGCTATATGGAAAAAAAAATTAAAATCTGAACACCAGCATATCCTGGTACAAAAAATGAATAACAAAGCAGCTATGAGTCTAATGTAGCACCTTTAATCTACTAGATTCAGCAATTATTTTGCTACAGTCATTTCTACCATCTATACTTACATGCATATTCAGCTTTCTCCTAGGCATCCAAACTAATTCAGATCCTTAACCCATGGGACACATAGCCATGTAATAACATGTTGGGGGGTGGGGTTTGTTGGTTGTTTTGCAGTAAGGGACCCTACAAAGACTAGGAGGGAGGCGGATATTCATTCTTGGTTCTTTCTTTCTGCTACCCTATGTGTCCTGTCTAACAGGAGTCTGTGTCAGTGTAGGTTCTTATGGACAAAACCAAACAATAGGTAATTAATGGCCTTTTAGAATTCCAACAGCAACAAGGTCCTTTGAGCCTGCTTCAGCATCAGGACCTTTCTTATCCTTCCTCGGCAGCAATAGCAGCCAGTTAAAGTGACTCAATTATATCCCAGCATTGTCTTTTGAATTTCTAGCATCAGCTTCCTTCGGGTCTGATGGCTCCTAGCTGCCTCCAACTGCCACATATTTCTAGAAATGATAATTCTTTTTCCTGGGGCTTGTGACACTTTCACCTGATTGACACATTAGTGTCAATATGGTTCCTGTTAGCTATGGGTGGACAACCTTCAGCACATGGCCCATCAGAGTAATCCACTGGCACGCCACAAAAGACATTTTCTTTACATTGACCGTCCACAGACACAGTCTCCCCTGAGCTCCCAGTAGCCATGATTCGCCCTTCCTGGCCAACGGGAGATTCAGAGAGCAACACAGGCTGCAGAGTTAGAAAAACATAAACAAAATGACTCAAAACCTGCTAGTAGATTACCTTAATTGGCCACATGCCAAAGGTTGCTGACTGCACATGTAAGCACTAAAGAGACTGCATCGTGGGGTATCTCACAGATAATACATGACTGCAGGGATCTCAGAAGCATGCTGACGGTAAAGAATATCCAGACAATCTTCTTTGAGAACCTTCTTGTCCCATGAGGTAATGATGGCAGTAAGGAAGGTTCTGGAAGTAAGCTACTGAGAGTGAACTTGGGTCTTCGCCCACAAAAGCTTATGCTCCAATAAATCTGTTAGTCTATAAGGTGCCACAGGACTCCTCGTCACTTTTGCAGATTCAGACTAATATCGCTACCCCTCTGATACTTAAAAGTGAACTGCCACTCTGTGCCATTAGGTAAATGGAATAGGGTGTAGGGTTTGGGTTTTGTGGAACCTTGGTCCACTTTCTACGGGAAGAGCAGGTTTTATACTTTGAATGGCGTTGGCCTCATTAGAAGTGGAACCAGTCCTCTAAGGGACAGGCTGGGGGTAATCAGGAATGCATTAAACTTAAGAGCAAAAGGGAAAGATAAACGGAGGAAAAGCACTTCACACAAAATTGAGATTTTTTAGAACAAAATGAAACAAAGAATGAAAGGACAAGCAGGGTTTTTGCCCACAAAAGTTTATGCTCAAATAAATGTTAGTCTTTAAGGTACCACAGGACTCCTCATTGTTTTTGCTGCATCTTGTCACACAAGGTAAGGTTGCAAGGGAAGAACAAAAGAAATAGAGGAAGCAAATGAACAAAAATAAAGAGGACAGATTATACATAAAAAGGAAGCTACTTCTAGACTGAAGGCTTCTTTCGGAAGAATCTTTTTTCGGAAGAGATCTTCCGAAAAATCTTCTTCTGAAAGAGTGCCCACACACAAAAGCTCATTTTCGGAAAAACTTTTTTCGAAAGAGAGTGTCCACACAGCAACAGCGCAACGAAAAAGTGATTTGCTTTTTCAAAAGATAGTGTCCACACTGAATGGACACTATCTGACATTTAAGCTGTGATTACTATGGACGGAGTGGCCACCAGAGCACCTGTGCTTTTTTTCTTTCCTCTTCTTTCGAAAGAGCTCTTTCGGAAAAGGGCTTCTTCCTCATAGAAAGAGGATTACCAACGCCGGGAAAACCTCTCTGTTCTTTCAATTTACTTTTGGAAGAATGCGATTGCATTGTGGATGTAACTCAGGTTTTGTCAGAAAAAAATGGCCATTTTTCCGACAAAACTCTGTAGTGTAGACAAACCCGGAAAGGTGGGATAAGACAAGGTGTGACGGGCTGCCAACAGCCCACACACTGGCCAGTGGGGAGAGGTGAGTGGAGAGCCATGCCACGGGTGGTGAACTCGAGAGGCCGCCTCCAGCGTACGGCCGGTGGGAGCGGAGGTAGCGGGCGACTACCCAGAAGTGATGGGGGAAGCCCCCACGTCACGAAGGGGGAGGAGCCCCGGGCCACATCACGGCCAGTGGGCCATTTTAAAAGGGCTTGCCAGCATGGTGGGAGGAGGGGGCATCTGCAGACAGCGGAGGCAGAACCCCAGCAGAGGAACAGCATGGAGGAGCAAGACCCTGGGAGGAGCACCGGAGGACTGATCCAGGATTAGGCCGCCGGAATCACGGTAGGCACAGGGGAGCTGGAAGCTGGTCCCCAGGAGCCTGTGGGGGGAAGGAAGCAGCCCAGGGTGGGGTCCTTGTGGTGCCCATGGGCTGACACATTACGGGGAGGCGCCCCATCAGCCATGCAAGGGAACGTTGACCCTGCACTTAGGACCCTGGGCTGGGACCCGGTGGAGAGGGAGGGCCCGGGTCCCCCTTCACTCACACCCCTGTGAGGAGGAGACAGGGCGAAATCTGGGAGGGTGTACGATGACTGCAGGTCACCGAGAACAGATATTGATACTGACTCGCATAAGGGGAAAGAACAGTCGGCAGCCAAGCCACAGGGCCCCGTCCCAGACTCGGGTGGGGCTCACACCCAAAGGGACTGCCCTGCGTGAACAGCGGTCGACAGTCGGGCTCGCAGGGCCCTCGTCCTGGACCCAGATGGGGTGCTCACGCCCAAAGGACTGTCACACAAGGTTTCAGATGGAGTTGGAGAGAGGAAAAGCAAAAATGAAGTGAGTTTGGAGTGACTGGAGTTAAAAATCGACATGGAGTTGAGAGATAGAGAAAATAGAAATGAGGACATAGCGGGATAAAAATACTAGAAAAAATCAACATATCCAGCTTTTAGTTTGAGAATATCTTTCCTTCATCTGACCCAGAAGCAATGGAGAATGTAATTAGCTACAGAGGCAAGTAGCCAAGTCTCATAATGGAGAAGATGTCTTCTCCGTTCTGGACTCTTTCATTTGACCTGGGTTAAAAGAATGTGTACTAACAACAGCGAGTGTGTTTTACAAGTTTCCTTCTGTGCCAGTTCACAGAGACTAAGAGCTATTACAAACAGCAGGTGCAGAAACTTGGCTCTTTAGCTCAAATTGTCACAGTTTATGCTCTGAAAGTCTTTGGTTCAATCTCTAACACATTGACCC